CGGGGGGCTATTTTGGTTTTCTCTTATGACTCGATTGTGCGGAGCGCGGTTCGGACTGTGTGTATATGTGTGTAATAACGATGAACGCGCTATCTGCTTGTTGCTTGGTGTCAATATAAGTGTGTGCGTGTGTTGAGAATGGACGGAGAGTCTGCTGTATTTGCTGAGTGTCAAATTGTGTGTGTGCGCTGCTGCGTGGAGTTGTTATCTTGATGGTGAAGTTAATTATTAACTTGGGAGCGTCGGGTATCTTGCGCTGTATTATTTGTGGGTTACCTTGTGTGATGGGCTTAATTGAAAAAAAATATATATTTTTTTTTTGGTGTATTGTGCTGCGAGGTGCTGTGTGCGATGCGATTGTTGCAAGAGAGAGAATAATTGTGTTGTTGCTGCAAAGTTACGACAGGATTAATGGTGTGTTGGTTGCCTGCAGATCTGCTTGCTATTGTGCTTAAATGTACGCGTGTGATCGCGATATGCTGATTGCATGTGCTGTTATACCGTTCTGTATGGTTATGGGGTGCGATGCAGTGGTTGACTATTGGAATTGAGATTGTTATTATATTGTGCGTACTTGTTGGAAATTGGTAACAAATTGGAGGGGGACCCAAAAATTTGGTTGTATGGGTGTTGTGCACACGAGATTGCGTGTATATTATAGGGGTAATTGAGCTTTTTGAAAATGAGAGTGCGCGATGACGCCGTTGTGGGTGGCTTAGATGTTAATGCTAATGGGATCGTAAATGGGCGCCAAGTGGCGTCGTGTATTGGTTGATTGCATGCAGCCACGAGTTGCTTTGCGAGTTGGGTTGTGTAACTAATGTGGTTGGTAAAATATTGGTTAAAAATTCCCCGATATGACTGCTGCGCGCAGCAAGCTGGGGCTGTGCGTCTATCGTTGTTGGGGTTGTTACAATAAGACGGGGGATGCATTTTGTGACCCCCAGCATAGGGAAGCTGGGGTGCACGAATGGAGAAAACTGGCCACGTGTTCGCACGTTGGGCCGCCATTTTCTGGCCACGTGTTCGCACGTTGGGCCGCCATTTTGCGCGCACGCGGGGTATGGCGACGATGCGCTTTGCGGAAAGGGCCGCCATTTTGAGTGCGCGCGAGAGATTGCGCGAACGCGCTGGGCGAAGGGGGACGCCATTTTGAGCGCGCGGGAAAAACCAGGGTGAGGCGAAACCTCCGTGGTATGTCTTAAACTAATGGGCCATGTGCTCATATGGCTCGGGGAGTCATGGTTCAGTTGTGCGGTGGCAGACTGAACCTGGTGTGCCGGGGGCTCACGGGATCTGGGTTAGGGTGTTATTGTCTCTATAAGAGAACATTGCCCCGTGGGGGGAGTACAGGGGGTCTGGCATTGCTGGGGGATGAACCTTCCCTGGGCTATAAAGCATCGGACTATACGAGGCTGGTGTGTGTCCATCTCTGATGGGATAGTAAGGGAGGAGCATGGCCGAGTTGCTGCTCATCCCCGAAATTGCACTAGCTGAGAGTATGGTCAGTGGATGTTGCTGTGGGTTGACGACCACGGTGGGGGTTAGGGCGAGTTAAACGTTACCGCTGGGGAGCGTGGCTCTCTCCACGCGAGGGTGTGTGATTAGGTGTTTTGTTGGGTTGCTGAGAGTGACCGTGGGTACATGCTGTGTACGTGCGATGTCTGTGCTGGTCCTCAAGGGAGGACTGCTGGTGGGTAAGAGCAGGAAATTTTGTTGTTGTTGTTGTCACGTGTAAATAATATTGTTGTTAAAATGTAAATACTGGGGCATTCATTGCGTTATTTTGGGTATTTATGGGGAGTTTTTTTTTAAGCGGGCCGGATTTACATCATCTCCACTACCCTGGGGCCGGGTGGCTGTCGTGTACGACATGCGGATGTGCGTTGTTGTGCTGTGCCTCAGGGGATTGGATTCTCCTTCTCGTCACAGATTCTTCAGCTCCCGTCGCACTGGGTGTTACCTGGTGTGCTAGCTGGATGAGGACTTGAAGGAGCAATTGAGCGCCGTTCGTCATTCTGCTCTACCACTTGCTCTTTGACGTTGGACTTGAGCCGAGCGGATGGAACTGCAACATGGACACGCACTAAAACATCACATTCTGGGTTGTGCGCGTTGGCCGTTCTTGCGTGTCAGTTGCCGTTGTTGTTCATTGTGCCATTCTTATTCTTGTTGTTGTTGTGCGGAGGACAGGCCGGTGTTCTGTTCCAGTTCCTGATACCTCCCCTTTCGTTGCTTGTGTTGTTGTTGTTATAATCTCCGTTGTGTCTGGGGGACTCCTGATTGTGATGCCTTCGCCCGCATTATTTTGTTCTGTTTCAGCCGAGGACGGCTGGGATTTTCTCTACGGGGGAGGGTAGTGTAATGCGGGCGTAAATGGGCGGGGCGGATATGACGATCCGAGAGGGAGGAGTCAGGGTGACGTGGGGGAGAAGTTATAGCGGGGAGACAGGAAGCTATACGGGGGCAGTCGGGGGAGTGAAGGGTGGTGAACACGTTGGGTGGTCGCCGTGCCTCAGCCTGGTGGCTGAGGGGCTCATGACGGTGCCAGCCAGCGGGGTGGAAGAGAGAATGGAGGATTGAGGTTGGAGATGGCGAGGTAGCCATAGAGGCCACGAAGGGCTAACTGGGGAGGTGGCGAGATCGCCACGCACGGAGGAACAGGGAGCAGCGATGGAGCTGCTGTGGGGGCAGCCGGAGGGCTGCACCAAGAGCCTGCAGCGGAGCTGCAGGAGCGTGGAAGGCTACGGGAGCGAAGGCAGATGTGGGGCTGCCAGGGAGAGAGTCTCAGGAGGAGTGCCGTGTGGGAAGGAGAACGCGAACCCCAAATAAAGGACACGGAGTCAGTAAGAAGTGTCTAAGTCCTTTTATTACACATACCAGGCGTGACCAAAAAGATCTCCAAAATTCTAAACAAACATAAGATCCAAGTCCGATTCAGTACAGTACATAAAATCCGTGATCTAATTCCATCTGTGACGAATGTCATCCCTGACTTGCAATACCCTGGAGTCTATAAACTGAGTTGCAGCTGTGGTGACTGTTACATTGGGGAAACGAAACGTCATGTCTCTGATCGTGTCCGCGAGCACAAGTCAGATCTGAAACACGGCAAAAATTAAGTCTTCCACCGTTGCCGATCATTGCTACAACGCTGTGGGCTCTCATGATATTGTTTTTTCCGAGACCAATGTGCTCTGCAAGCCCTCTGGCTACCATCAAATGTTTGTACACGAAGCCATCCAGATATACAAACACAGACATAATTTCAACCGTGATGATGGGTACAAACTGAGTAATCATTGGAAAGATGTTATTAACCATGCAAAAAAGATTTAACTACACATTTTTGGACCATCTTATTTGACAGGCACTATTTCACTTTACCGAGTGTTAACATCCCCAGCGTTTAACAGTACTCTCCTTTTTGTATTTGTCAGCCAACACTGGGTAAAACAACATGGGCATTTTCGTTCTCTTCTAGCATGTGCACCAATAGGTGCATGTACACCTTTTGTTCTCTTTTAGACCCCGCTCCCAATACGTTCCATTCATTGGCTACCACATTCAGATAAGCCCCCTCCCCCCTCCTCCTCCCCCTTAACTTGTATTTAAGAACTTGTATTTTGGAATCTCTGCATCACTTGATACAGTAAATCTAGCTGTGACGGTCCCACCTGATGACGGATACTTGTGTTGCCTCAGAAACGTCGTGATTTATTATTTTATTTTATTTCTATTATTACTTTTATTAATTTTAATTATATTTTTTACCTACGTGACTTTACTGAAAAAACCTAAGAGTGAATCCTTGCAGTCACGAAAGCGTCAAATCTAGAAAAAAAAGTCATCTTACATCCTGCCTATAACACCATGCAACATAGCAACGTGTGTTTATCAGGCCTGACTATATTGATGCGACTCTTAAATTAAATTTTTTTTACAGAGTTTGCCTGTTAATAATACAATTCTGCTGTAAATGTAGGGCTTCAATAAATGATCTGAAAAAAAATATTCCAAATTCAAAATATACGAATTTCAATTTAATATATATATAACAAACTACATTACTGTATGTTAATATCATTTATTTGAAACAATCATTTCATAAAGCATTCATTTCGAAAAGAATAACATTAACATTTCAGTTTAAATGTGGAGGGAATAATTCCTCTATTTCGGTGGCTCTCAAGAGAAAAATAATATAAAAAAATCCTGCCAAGTTCACTTTCGTTTATTCTTAGGCACGAATTTACTTCAGGCTCAGCAGATCCGCCACAACCGCAAAAGCAGTTCCATTAAATGGTGACACCATGCAGACACCTTCATCCAGTAGTGGATTTTTTCATGTCTGCTGATGATTATTGCTTTTACTGGCTATAAATAACGGTGAATGTTTTTCGTGTGTAGTACTTGTTATTCAAGTACTTCACAGTCACTATGCTCAGGCTGTATGCTCAGATCAATAAATGTCAATGATCCATCAACACTGCCAATATATAGTCCCGGGTAGAGAGGCTGAGAGAACTGATGCTTAAATCTGTGTAAAAGTAGCATGGAGTCGGTGTTGTAAAACGACATCATCCCAGCCTCCCAGTCAAGGTGAATCCCGACTCTCTGTGGAGACTCTCTCACCGACAATGACGTCTCTACAAAACCATGCTGTACTGAATATTTGTCGTGATTTTTTATTAAACACCATGACTCCTCAGTCAGTCCCAAGATGGACTGTGGGATTTTCCTGTATGCAACACCAACTCGACATAATGCTGCATTTTTCACGTCCACCTCCCAGTAGTGCTGACCCGATGAGAAGCTCTCAGAGCACAGGGCTTGGTAACGAACGTAATAATTTATTCCATAAACAGGGTGACCCTGAGAGACGGGAATCCGTGTCACCATCCTTAGATCTGAAGAAATGTTGAGACGATCATGGGTTGAGTTCGGGTTTAAAGTTGGTGAGCACCCATCTGCAGTAAAAAAAAAGTAATACTACATGTATTATACAAGTACAATATCACAAATAATTACGTGAATCATATAAATCAACACGTTAAATATACACATTTTCACCATTTATTACTGAAATTATGTACTATATGCATAGTAAGAATAAAAGACGAAGACTCAATAATAAGTGTAAAAATAACAGATGCATGTTGCATGAGTTGCACGTAGTTCTTTCGTTGTCCATTAATAATAAAAACCTGCTTCGTGAGTTTTAATGAGACGCTTAAGCAGAGTTTGTCAACAATACCACGTGATTGGTCAAATAATAATTAATCAGATAATAATCACAGCATTGCCACGTCATACGAATAAGGAACAAGTATCTGAATCAAATTTAGCCTCTAAGGACATGGTTTTCACAAACCAATTCAGTTTGCATAGGAATCCATCATAGGCCAATCACTGGCCTTCCTCTAGCATGTGCATGTTAGACATGTTTGCCTGGGCTATCACAACTGCCAATCTTTGTCGAAAAATACTTATCTGCTGACAATGTGATTTTGGATCAGGCAAGAAATTTTCTACAAATGCACAATTCACCTGAAATGTTTTTCTGTTACAAAAATGTGGTATAAATATGAACGGCGCCCACTAAATGAATAACTAATTAATGATATGAGATTACCACTAAGCTATCTTAGACTCATGGTTATTACCGCACGCGTGATGCTGTTGGCGTATTACGTCCATCATAATACTTTAGTTTTATAATGTTGACAATTAAGTGAGCACAGCTGAAACTTGTTCGGTAAAATAAATATGAAGCGTATTTTTATAAATATATCAAGACGTTCATAATTGAGGCCTCATAATAGAAATATATAAGTAATAATATAAGTGTAAAATACATAAAACTGAAACTCAAATCACAAAAGTCAAATAATAATGTAATGTAAGTGTGTCTCTCTGCTCTCTGTTCACTCTGAGGAAGGTAAATTCCCTAAACGTTACCCTATTATAGGTTTAAGCAATTCCATGTGGCAGAAAGGGGCTGGGTATTTACCCATACAATCTACTTGTGTACACCTTTCACTCTTGTTGGCTAGACCTAAGGTGATGGAATGATAGCTAAAATAGCATACCTGTCAACTCATACGGTTTACCTGTTTTCTCGTTAAGGAAAATTAAGTGTTCGGGTTCATACGGCGTACAGCCGTTTCAATATGGGCAAAAACATGTTTTGTCTTTGTTTGTGTTTCTCCCATGTGATGGAACTTTGTAGGATGAATGTTGAGATTTATAAGGGCACGGGGTGACGAATAAGGTCTGAATTGGTCTGTAATAAGGTCGGCACTAATAACGGGTTGACAGGTATCAAACAGCCGCATGAATTTGGCCCTTTACATTTATCAGAATCATAATATTTATTCATACTGGAGGAATACTAAGAGATATAAAGCATTTTTTACAGATGTCCAGTAGGGCGGGTCAGAACGTTAAAACAACAAGCAATACAAACACATTATGGTAGTGCAAAGTATAAGAAAGGTAACCAAATCACAAAATATAGAAATAAAAGTAAGCTATTTTTGTATTTTAATGGGTAAAGCCCACTGAGCTATTAGATTATTTTTCAGAGGCGACCTGATGACAAATTATAGCTCAACAAAATAAAACCCGAGGACCCGGAGAAAAAAACCCACATTATAACAGGGAGAACATGCAAACTTAAAATATACGGGTGTCAGGGATAGGATCAAACCCCCGACCTCCTGCATACCAATTGAGTAAGATAACGTCTCACCACCATGGCGCCCCTTAAATAAGTAGAACATTAATTAGGTATATATGTTCAAATTGCATAAGTACATCAATTCCCAAGGTAATACATTGAAATTGAACTATCAGTCCATGGGTAATAATCAAAGTTACAAATCACATTTGCAAATGGGGCTGTATTCAGCTCAAATATTTCGCTTCATATTAACTCGAATTCCATTAGAAATATTCTAACTTCAAGCTGTAAATAGTGAAGCAAAATAAATCATTTAGCAAAGACAACTCTTTCGAGGAACATAATGAAAATTATAGCTAGAACCCCTTCAAGACATTGCACACGCAGAATACATACATTTGAGTAGTCTTAACCGTTCTTCATCTGGTAAAAAAAATATATTAAGTTAATTGTTCAATCAGAGAAGATCACACAAAAAAAAAGAAAACAATGAGGTTATTGTGTAAGGAAATATAAAAGCAATACATATTCAACAGTACACACCTTTTTCAAAATTAAAACCTTGACAACAAGAGCTTAGAAATGCACATTATTAAATTGGTAACGTTTTTATAAATACACAAATTAGGTAATAATCGACACATGTATAAACAAAATCAATCCCAACATTTAAAGTGACATAGACGAAGTGGTTAAGTGGTTTGGAGAAAATACCAAAAATGACGGATAATTTATAGGCAAAGCAAGCACGCAAGTAGCAAGCCAGCATTAGGAGAGGTTTATCTACCATTGGCAACATAGTAATTTCAATCAGATAATGTAAAATACAAATGTATATATATTATCATTATGCCTAGCCTTTGTATAATATCAAAATTACTTGAGTTGGTGGATATTGGTGCAGTATTTAACGTTTGCACGAAGAAAGGTTCCAGGAAAAAAAATACGATGTCGTATGGATGTATGCTACAGCTACAATGAGATTTTATGAAGTAACAAAATTTAGAGCAGAAAAGACGTGAGTTCCACACTCTCCAAAGAAATTTCCTGCAATAATAGAACATGATTTCCAAACTGTTTTTTCGAGAAATAAAATCGAAAAAATATATTAAAAACATTAACATTTAAAGGTTTTATCATTACGCAGTCATTACAACACGGTAAATCAATCACAATGAATGTATGAAGAACATATTAAAGACGGCTGCAAAGTTGAGCTCAAGGCCAATATAAATAAACATGCGCTTGATATGGGCTAAACAATGTGTAGGCAAATAATACAACACAACACTTTGCAAAGTTATTGATTGAGGATCTGGATCACATTGACAAAATACAGGTGGTGGACGAGAGCAGCGGGAATTGATGACATTTGATCTTGCAAAGCGACGCCCGAATGTCTCCAGAGACGAAGAATAAAGAAGCAGTGGGTTGTATCTGCTGTGACACCATGCGGATGTAGGAAATACTGCACCTTTGTCACCAACGTGAAGGTTGAGACAAATACAGCATGTTTATCAGCAAGTAGAGGCCGTAGCCGTGGAGATGTCACACTAGGTGACCTATCTCAATGTGTGACAGACACAATTTGGAATGTGGTCAGTGGCATCATGCGCAGAGATCACTTACCTTTATAATTCTTGAGGCGATCTTGTTCTAATAACAACATTAACTTTTAGTGAACACTGTGGGCTTAAAATAAAGCATCACAGTGATTACTTCGAAGAAAAATGCATCAAATCAAAAGATTAGCGAAATTATGAATGTTGTAGCAAATGATAACACAATTTGTAATATATATACGTTCACGTTACTCTGTATTTTAAATACGAAGAATGAAAATTCTGAATTTACTGCCCAGAGCATAGCGAAGCTCGTTATGTCAGTAACCCTGCTCTGTGGAAAAAATAAGATTCTCTGTTATTAACTTCTCAGCCACATCGTACATGGAAAACTTACCAGCATATAGTAACTCGCGTTCTTGCTCTGATGTAAAAACAAACACATCAACACAATTACCAAACAGTTAAGCGCAGGGCATGCTTCATGCAGTGAATCATGGAGAACAAATGACAATACACTGCAGTTGACACATTTTACATCTATGAGTGGTTAATTTATCTGTGTATTGCCCTCTTTTATTTCCGCTATTGCCGATCCCATCTTGGGCTGCCCACCGGTAACATAGAACTTCATAGCCCGTCAAGCTCTTCCAGCTTCAATCGAACGTCTGTGTCTATTTGTCTTGCAAATCAAGTTATATCATGATTCGTCGACTGTTATATAAACAATTAAATAAAGTTTTGTCTAAATGATCAAATCCATCCGTTTGGACCCCGTGGGTTATTGTTCAGTGTTTGTGGATAATAGTGTTGTATATATTCGGTCTTGAAAAATAATAAAAATAATAAAAATGAAATGAAAAAAAGTGTAATTATCCGAAATAATGAAAAATTTAAGGTAATTATGCAAATTATGGATTTATGTTAATTAGGAAGGTGCAATTGTATTAGGTTATGGAAGTGTAATGTAATTATGCTAATTAGGCTCGGCTTCGTTGTCTGGGGTTGTATTATCAATCGGGATAATACAGTGATTCTCACTTTAACTTTTACTGATTATGTCTTAGTGTGTTTATGTCAGGTCTCCAAATTCAGATCTCACCGCAGGAAACAGTTCTTATAAAGAAAATTATTATTCATGAACTTAGAAAGGCACCACTCAGACACTTCTGTGTTAAGCAATGTTAATATTAAAAAAAACATAACATTCGAATATGCGAACTCTTATGCCAGGAATGTCAACAAAGTACTCCTGGAGATGTCCTCCTCATTGATCCGTACATTTAACCCTCAATGATTTCGTTTGTTAAACTGGGTAACAGAACAATTGGCTCATTCCCCAGAGTAAGGTGAGCATATTAGGCGATAGGAAAAAGTCCTTAAAAATTAATGAGACAATATTCATCCGAACAGTAATAAAGAAACAAGTCCCGAAAGCAAAGTAGACCTCAATGAATGCATTGGTAAGATTATGCAATTAACGAAATGGTTTGGAACAATGGTGTGCGGCAGTTTGCCTGCTTCAGCAAATGCTCATCAATTGGCTAAGGCTTCAATAAATTTGCAGGAAAGGTTATGTGATCAAAAGAAAGATTTTAACACAATAGTCTCCCTTGAGTGTGTAGATTCGCAATATAGATGTTTATAAATGTTTAGTTCCATCAATGAATTCATTGGTACAGTTAGGCTATTAACAAAATGAATGACTAAAATACTTATAAACGACCGTATCCATATATAAGGTGAAAAAGAGTAATATAAGTAATAATACAAGCCACTTATGTAGACTGCAGTCTGGTTCTTAATCTGAGAGTGTACTGGCAGTCTATAATGTCGATTTAATCTTGTCGCTAAGTTTAGAACGTTTACCATTGTAAAAAAAAATAAACGCCAGTTGTAATATCCGATTGCCCCTGCTCTGCGTCCATGGAGATCTGAATGGGGTGGTGCAACGACCGTTTCAGAAAGTTTCGATTTGAAACCAGGCAGTTCCTCCCGGGCCAGCGAGTCTGGAGATTTATATGTGAAACTGTCCAAAACGTCCGTGGAGGTCTGTCTCATCGTCCCCCTCACCGTTGATATTTCCCAAATTGCCATTAACCTCCCTTTGCCCCGGGGCTTTATTATGTAATGGCCTCCAGCTGCTTGGTGTGGCTTGTGGGAGGTAGTGGGGTGAGGGTGTGCCTCACCCTTGTCGTGCCCCATGCTACACCCCGATTGATTATTATAAAAAAAAATTGGCAGAATTATTCTTAATAACATTTTTTTGTAAAAAGGCCTATATACAACAAAAGTAAAGTCATTCATGTTACAGTTTAGGTAATTATTGTGAGAATAAAAAACTGACGAAAATATCATGCCCAGAATGCCTTCAGCGAAGGCCGCATATCCACTTATGATTATTGTTATTATTTTACCTCGCGCTCATGTGATTTAATTTCAAAACCAGTTTCAGACCCGCATTCAAATATTTCTAAATGGGCGCTGACATTTTAATGCAAATGACGAAAATATTTGCGTACAGAACGTACCTTGTGAAAGAGCCCACTTCTTTTTATCTAAAATCAAAACAAATTATTAATTAACAAACATAAAAGTCTTAGTTCTGCTGAGTCCAAATCGCAGGTACAAAATACAGGGTAATTTAAGATAGTTTGCAGAGCCAAGCAGGATTGAATTTTTTATTCAGGTTGAGGGGTCCATGGTAACATAACCAGGCAGAGTGAGGGGCCCAGCTTATTGATGAGGAAGTCGGCACGTTTTTAAGCTCTGAACTTAAGTATTGATCCAGTCAAGTTGTAGCCCTGGAGACACAATAGTTGTGAGTAAATACTATTGCTGATGTAAATGACATGAGTGTATTTGTAAATTCCATGCAATGACCAGCTAATTTAAAGTTGAAGACTGATTGCAAACGTGCGTGAAATCGTTCGCTTGCATCAAATTTGAGGATAAGTCCAGGGCTCTCTGGAGCGAGGATTACGAAGTTTGCCTTTCTCATAAGCCCTCGGTTCTAACGCATGGGCAGTGATATTTCAGCTCAGTCTGTACTGTACATTAGCTAGAGTGATGAAGCATGGCTAGAGCGTGCTTAAGATAAGTGTAACTGCTGAGAAAAAAGTTGTTTGTTACGTGTCAAGTCAGCTAATGACTGTGTATTTTGTTAGTATGATACATTTTACCCTGTAATGGTTCCTTCACAACTCCACTGTGGTGAAGATCGCGCGCAAATAATGCGGAGTATTCCAGATGATGGCCCAAGGTTTCGACTGGATTCATGAATGGATGCGCTCATATTATGTAAACTGTAGTCATAACAGTACTTGTAAGCAATATTCTTGTTTTTCAAATACAAGTTTTAGAGGGATTTAATTGTTTTAAAGGTAGATTAAAGCAACATGTTTCCACCTCTGATAGGACCACTTTTTATAGTTGTTTCAGTATCCTACATCTCTTCTTGTGCAATTTAGAAGCTGAGGTTATAAATCACCAGCAGACATGATCAATCCTATTGATCAATCATTTTGATCATGTGGAGGGAGAAATTGGAGGACCCGGAGAAAAACTCTACCCGATCACGGGGAGAACATGTAAACTCCAAATATATAGGCGTCAGGGTCGGGATCAAACCCACAGGCAAGTCCTCCTGCATCCACTGCCATCTCTCTCGTGTCCTGCGCACATGCTGGTTTTACCACTCCTTCACAAGGGAGGTCGTCCTCTTCGGTTCGTTCTCTCCTCTGGCTGCCGTTACATCAAATTTCTGATAATTGGTCATCTCTTCTCGTGACGAGTCTTGCCTGACGTCACTTACCTGTTTTAGTCAGAGAGACGGCTTTCATCGGCGTATGTTCTCTAATCTACACGTTTCTATGTCTTTCACTGTAACTCCAAGGACGAACATAGCAATGATTCTTTATCAACGTTCTAGTTTTTGCTCCAAATTCTTTGATATCGTGCACATTTCTGATCTAAGCCGTAGCCAATTACACACATTCAATTGGGAAAAATACTTCTGATGACAGATCCGTGTTACAAATTGTTATGGAATTCATGCGCATGCGCGATCTTTCTTCCATTTTTGTCGCACAATTGACTACAAATCCATCAGAACCGAGCACAATAGCCAGGATATGTGACTGAATGAGGACCTTCATCTTTCATTGTGTACTGTAACAATATAACACAAATCGATGCGTGGCTTCTTTATTCAAAACAGGCAATTACTACTGTTTAAACTACAATAAAAAACGTATCAATATAAAAATAGGATAACATTGAGCGTTTTAAATTATTAACAGAGAGTAGATTGATTTCAGTGTTGATAAAATGTGTAGTTGAAATGTAATGATAAATTGACCATATCAAGTTACCATGCAACTACTGCAAACATATTAGTTATATTGTTTCAATATTTTAAAATAGAAATTTCGTATTTCAAAGTTAAAGCACTGTCCATGTAAAACAAGCATTGCTAATTGTTCCTCGGATTGAGTCACGAAAAAAGTTTCACCCTCACAGTTCCATGTTTTCTAAATGGGCGATGACATTTTAATGCAAATGAAGAAAATAGTTCCGTACAAAACGTACCTTGAGAAAGATCCCTCATTTCTGGATCAAAAGCAAAAAAATATGTGTAAATTAACAACATAAAATTCAGAGTTCTGCTGATTCCAAATCACAGGTATTACAGACAAGGTCATTAACAATAGTTTGCGGTCAAGCAGGTTTGAATTTTCTTTTCAGGTTGAGGGGTCCCTGGTAACATAACGAGGCATAGTGAGGGGCCAAGCTTTTAAATGAAGGAGTCGGCACGTTTTTTAGTTCTGACCTTAAGTATTGATCCAGTCAAGTTGTAGTCCTGGAGACGCAATAGTTGTGAGTAATTACTATTACTAGTGTAGATGAAATGATTGTATTTGTTAAGTCCAAGTAATGACCAGCTAATTTAAAGATGAAGACTGATGGCATACGTGCGTGAAATGGTTCCCTTGCATCATATTTGAGGATGAGTTTCGGGCTCTCTGGAGCGAGGACGATGAAGTCTGCCTCTCTGATAAGCCCTCGGTGAGAACGCTTATTCAGTGATATTTCAGCTCAGTCTGTACTGTACACTAGCTACAGTGGTGAAGTATGGCTTGTGCGTGCTTAAGATACGTGTAACTGCTTATTATAGCAGTTGATTGTTACATGTCCAGTCAGCTAATGACTGTTGTATTTTGTTAGTATGATACATTTTACCCTGTAATGGTTCCTTCACAACTCCACTGTGGTGAAGATCGTGCCCAATAAATGTGTAGTATTCCAGATGATGGCCCTAGGTTTCGACTGGATTCATGAGCCAAGGCTCACAGTCTGAATGGATGCGCTCAGATCATTTACATCGTAATCAGAACATAATTTATACTCTTTGGTTCTTTCGGTAAAGTCACGTAGGTATAAAATACAAATAAATCACGACGTCTCGATTGCAACACAAGCAATCATCATCAGGTGGGAAAACCACAGCAAGACAATTTTTGCTGAAGTGGGAGAGAGAGTTGCCGTGGTAAGAGGTTATATAGGTAAGACAGGGGGAGGAGCAAGGGGGGACACGGAGGGGTGGGGGTGTGGGGTAGGGGGAGGGGGAGCGCTGCGTGGACGCCAGGAGATGGACGTGAGGCTGGGGGGAAGACGTGGGCAGGGCTGGGAGTGGGAGGCCGAGAGAGCTGGGGATGCGGGGGGGAAGTTAACTCGGAAAAATAGAGTAATAGTACCCGGCAGATATGATAGACGATAACCACTACAAAGCATCTTCTTGGTTCTTTCGGTAAAGTAACGTAAAAGGAAAATAATAAAATAATAAAAATAAAACATAATAAAATAATTCTCACGTCGTTTCGGACACAACGCAAGCAGCCGTCTTCAGGTGGAGAACAGGTCTGTCGAGAAGGCAGAGTCTGCCTTCTCGTGAGAATCATTTTATTATGTTAAATTTTTATTATGTTATTATTTTCCTTCTACGTGACTTTACCGAAAGAACCAAGATGAATCCCTGCAGTCACGAAAGCTTTAAATCGAAACACTACAAAGCAGTTAGGGTTTTACCTAGTTAATAACATCCTTCCAATGATGGCTTAATTTGTATCCATTTTCTCGGTTGAAGTTATGTCTATGTTTATATATCTGGATGGCATCATGAACAAACCGATACAAATTGAGCAATCCTCTAAAAATGAACAATAAACTATTTTTTATTCTACCCGGTAAAGTCTAGAGAGCTATCAAGCTCTTTTTGCATTGCAAAAAGAGTCTGTGATTGAATTTCAAAAACTGTTTCAGCTCCGCATTCAAAGAACTCTAAAAAGACGATGCCATTTTAATGCAAATGAATAATCGTTAAGTACAGAACATACCTTGCGAAAGATCCAAGTTTGCTTGATCCAAAAACAAAACAAAATATTAGTAAATTAACAAACATAAAAGTCAAGAGTTCTGCTGATTCCAAATCACAGGTATTACAGACACGGTCATTAACAATAGTTTGCACAGGCAAGCAGGTTTGAATTTTATTTTCAGGTTGAGGGGTCCCTGGTAACATAACAATGCAGAGTGAGGGGCCCAGCTTTTCGATAAGGTAGTCGGCACGTTTTTTAGTTCTGAACTTAAGCATTGATCCAGTCAACTTGTAGCCCTGGAGACACAATAGTTGTGAGTAATTACTATTACAGGTGTAGGTGACATGAGTGTATTTGTTAAGTCCATGTAATGAACAGCTAATTTAAAGTTGAAGACTGATGGCAAACGTGCGTGAAATGGTTCCCTTGCATCATCTTTGACGATGAGTCCAGGGCTCTCTGGAGCGAGGACAATGAAGTCTGCCTCTCTCATAAGCCCTTTGATATAACGCATGGGCTGTGTTATTTCAGGTCAGTGTGTACTGCACACTAGCTACAGTGGTGAAGTATGGCTTGTCCGTGCTTAAGATAAGTGTAACTGCTTATTATAGCAGTTGATTGTTATATGTCCAGACAGCTAATGACTTGTATTTTGTTAGTATGATACATTTTACCCTGTAATGGGTCCTTCACAACTCTACTGTGGTGAAGATCGCACCAAATAAATGCGGAGTATTCCAGATGATGGCCCTTGGTGTCGATTGGATTCGTGAGCAAAGGTTCACAGTCTGAATGGATGCGCTCAGATCATGTAAATTGTAGTCAGAACAGTACTTGTAAGCAATATTCTTGCAAGTTTTGGAGGGCTTTCATTGTTTTAATGGTGAATTAAAGTAACATGTTTCCACCTCTGATAGGACCACTTCTTATAGTTGTTTCATTATCCTACATCTACATCTCTTGTTGTGCAATTTAAAAGCTGATTTTATTATCACCACCAGACATGATCAATGTTATATATATATATATATAAATGTAGAAACTATTTTTATTTTACCAGGAAATGCATATTGAACTATCAAACGCTTTTTCAGAAGTCACCTGGCCGCATGATAACTCAACGAAATATATTATCACGTGGACATTTATAGCAGCTAATTACAATAAACGAATGTTTATTCTAAATGTGGAGGGAGAAATTGGACCCAGAGAAAAATCCACGCGACCACAAGGAGAACATGTAAACTTCAAATATACAGGCGTCAGGATCGGGATCAAACCCACGGGTTTCTGTTTAGGGGCAAGCCCTCCTGCAACCACTGCCATCTCTCTCGTGTCCCGTACACATTCTGTATTTACCGCTCCTTCCCAAAGGCATTTCGAAGTTAAGGCACTGTCCATGCACAACAAGCATTGCTAAATGATCCTATGAGTCACAAAAAAAGTTTCACCCTCAAAGTTCCAAGATTTCTAAATGGGCAATGACATTTTAATGCAAATGAAGAAAATAGTTTTGTATAAAACGTACCTTCATGAAGATCCCTCATTTCTGGATCGAAAAACAAAATCAATTAAATATTTGTAAATTAACGAACATGAAAGTCAGAGTTCTGTTGATTCCAAATCACAGGTATTACAGACACGGTCATTAACAATAGTTTGCAGTCAAGCAGGTTTGAATTTTCCTTTCAGGTTGAGGGGTCCCTGGTAACATAACGAGGCAGAGTGATGGGCCCAGATTTGTCTGCCTCTCTCATAAGCCCTTCGTTATAACGCATGGGCAGTGATGTTTCAGCTTCGTCTGTACTGTACACTAGCTACAGTGGTGAAGTATGGCTAGTGCGTGCTTAAGATAAGTGTAACCACTTAGTTTAGCAGTTGATTGTTACATGTCCAGTCAGCTAATGACCGTTGTATTGTGTTAGTATCATACATTTTACTCTGTAATGGATCCTTCACAACTCCACTGTGGTGAAGATCGCGTCCAATAAATGCGGAGAATTTCAGATGATGGCCCTAGGTTTCGACTGGATTTTTGAGCAAAGATTCACAGTCTGAACGGATACACTCAGATCATGTACATCGTAATCAGAACAGTATTTGTAAACAATATTCGTCTTTTTCAGATAAAAGTTTTTGATTGTTTTAATTGTTTTGAAGGTAAATAAATTAAAGCAACATGTTTCCACCTCTGATAGAACCACTTCTTATGATATTCTTTTCAGTATCCTACATCTACATATCTTGTTGCGCAATTTAGAAGCTGAGGTTATTAATCACCACCAGCCATGATGAATCCTATAAAAAAAAACTACTTTTTATTTTACCCAGTAAAGTCTACAGAGCTATCAAGCTCTTTTTCAGAAGTGACCTGGCCATATGATAGCTCAACGAAGTATATTATCATGTAGACGTTTATAGCAGCCAAATACTGTAAACGAATGTTGATTCTAAATGTGAAGGGAGAAATTGGAGGACCCGGAGGAAATACACGCGACCACGGGTAGAACATGTAAACTGCCAATATACAGGCATCAGGGTTGGGATCGAACACACGCACTCCTGTTTACGGGTAAGTCCTCCTGCAGCCACTGTCATCTCTCTCGTGTCCTGCACACAGGCTGATTTTACCACTCCTTCCCAATGAAGGTCGTCCTCTTGGATCCGTTCTCTCCTCTGGCTGCCATGACATCAAACGTTTGATAATAAATAATTGGTCATCATTCTTGTTGTGACGAGCCCTGCCTGACTTAACTTACTTGTTTTGGTCAGGGAGACGTCTTTCACCTGCGTATGCTCTCTAATCTACACGTTTCTATGTCTTGAAACGTAACTCCGAGGACGCACGTAGCAATGATTATTTTTCAACGTTCTAGTTTTTACTCCAATTTCTTTGATATCGCATACATTTCTGATCTAAGCCGTAACCAGTTAGACACATTCATTTAGGAACAAAAACAAATTGGAGGACAGATACCTTTATCAAATTGTTATGGAATTCATGCGCACACACGTTTCTTGCTTTTTTATCGCAAAATTAACCGCAACTCTATCACAACGGAGCACAATAGCCAGCAGACGTGACCAAATAAGGACCCTAATCTTTCATCGGTTACTCTAACAATGTAACAGAGATCGATGCGTGGCTTCTTTAATAAAAACAAGCCACTCCTGCTGTTTAAACTACAATTCAAAAACCTATCAGAACAAAATATAGGAACACATTGAGCGTTGTTAATTGTTAGCAGAGTAGTTTGATTTCAGTGTTGATTTAATTTGTCATTGAATGTAATAATACATAGAAATATCAGGTTACCACACAACTACCTAATACATATTGAAATTGTTAAAATATTTTAAAATATAAATTTCGCATTTCAAAGTTAAGGCACTGTCCATGCACAACAAGCATTACTAAATGGTCCTATGAGTCACAAAAACAGTTTCACCCTCAGAGTTCCAAGATTTCTAAATGGGCGATGACATTTTAATGCAAATGAAAAAAATAGTTGTGTACAAAACGTACCTTTACGAATATCCCTCTTTTCTGGATCGAAAAACAAAATAAATAAAATATTTGTAAATTAACGAACATAAAAGTTAGAGTTGTGCTGATTCTAAATCACAGGTATTACAGACACGGTCATTAACAATAGTTTGCAGTCTAGTAGGTTTGAATTTTTTTTTCAGGTTGAGGGGTCCCTGATAACGTAACGAGGCAGAGTGATGGGCCCAGATTTTAATGAGGGAGTCGACACGTTTTTAAGCTCTGAATTTAAGTATTGATCCAGTCCAGTTGTAGCCCTAGAGACGCAATATTTGTGAGTAATTACTATTACTGGTGACATGAGTGTATTTGTTAATTCCATGTAATGACCAGCTAATTTACAAATGAAGACTGATTGCTAACGTGCGTGAGATGGTTCCCTTGCATCATCTTTGACGATGAGTCCTGGGCTCTCTGGAGCGAGGACGATGAAGTCTGCCTCTCTCATAAGCCCTTCGTTATAACGCATGGGCAGTAATATTTCAGCTTAGTCTGTACTGTACACTAGCTACAGTGGTGAAGTATGGCTCGTGCGTGTTTAAGATAAGTGTAACCGCTTAGTTTAGCAGTTTTTTGTTATATGTCCAGTCAGATAATTACAGTTGTATTTTGTTAGTATGATACATTTTACTCTGTAATGGATCCTTCACATCTCCACTGTGGGGAAGATCGCGTCCAAAAAATGCGGAGAATTCCAGATGATGGCCCTAAGTTTTGACTGGATTTTTGAGCCAGGATTCATGTACATCGTAATCAGAACAGTATTTTTAAACAATATTCGTCTTTTTCAGATAAAAGTTTTTTACTGTTTTAATAGTTTTGAAGGTAAATAAATTAAAGCAACATGTTTCCACCTCTGATAAAACCACTTCTTATGATATTATTTTCAGTATCCTACATCTACATATCTTGTTGCGCAATTTAGAAGCTGAGGTTATTAATCACCACCAGCCATGATAAATCCTATAAAAAAATATATTTTTATTTTACCCAGTAAAGTCTACAGAGCTATCAAGCTCTTTTTCAGAAGTGACCTGGCCATATGATAGCTCAACGAAGTATCTTATCATGTAGACATTTATAGCAGCCAAATACCGTAAACGAATGTTGATTCTAAATGTGGAGGGAGAAATTGGAGGACCCGGAGGAAATCCACGCGACCACGGGTAGAACATGTAAACTGCCAATATACAGGCATCAGGGTTGGGATCGAACACACGCACTCCTGTTTACGGGTAAGTCCTCCTGCAGCCACTGTCATCTCTCTCGTGTCCTGCACACAGGCTGATTTTACCACTCCTTCCCAATGGAGGTCGTCCTCTTGGATCCGTTCTCTCCTCTGGCTGCCATTACATCAAACGTCAAATAATATAATTGATCATCATCTCTTCTCATGACGAGTCCTGCCTGACGTCAATGACCTGTTTTAATCAGGGAGGCGTCTTTCACCTGCGTATGTTCTCTAATCTACACGTTAATATGTCTTTCAATGTAACTCTAAGGACGCACATTGCAATGATTATTTATCAACGTTCTAGTACGTTGCAACAATTTATTTGATATCGTCCGCAATTCTGATCTAAGCTGTAGCCAGTTACACACATTCATTGGGGGGAAAAATACTTCCGAGGACAGAAACGTGTTACAAATTGTTATGGAATTCATGGGCATGGACGATGTTTCTTTCTTTTTTTCGCAAAATTTACCGCAAATCCATCACAACGGAGCACAATAGCAAGCAAATGTGACTGAATAAGGACCCTAATCTTTCATCGGTTACTCTAACAATGTAACAAAGTTCGATACGTGGCTTATTTAATCAAAACAGGGAACTACTAGTGTTTAAACTACGATTCACAAACCTATCAGTAAAATAACAGTAAAACATTGAGCATTTTTAATTGTTAGCAGTGAGCAGTTTGATTTCAGTATTGATTTAATTTGTCATTGAAATGTAATCATACATTCAAAAGATCATGTTACCCCACAGGTTCTGTATGCATTTATTATTTATATTGTTAAAATATTTTAAAATGGAAGTGTCGCATTTCAAAGTTAAGGTACTGTCCGTGCACAACAAGCATTGCTAAAGGAGCCTCTGGTTGAATTTCAAAACAGTTTCACCCCCGCATTTAAAGATTTCGAAATGGACGATGCCATTTTAATGCAAATATTTGTTGAGAGAACATACCTCGTTGAAGATTTTTGAGTGCTCGAGCTGACAAAAAAATCCACCGAAACAATCAACACCATCACAGTTGTACAATATTTTTCAAAATACATTTAAACATAAACACATAAAAGTGCTTTGAGGATAAAACAACATGCACGCAATGGAAACATATGATCCTCATGTAGCCACTCCACCCCGATCTCTTCCTCTCCCCACCCATCGCTCGCTATTGCGTGCACGCACAATCACCCCACCCATCCACAACCCCCACCACTACCCCATCAATGTCGTTGAAACACATGGTTTTCACAATGTTGAGTGTCTCACAACCATGCAATGGATTCAAGTTTTTATTGCTTTTCTGAAAAAAAATTTAGCCTTATGTATTGCAGTGCACCAGCAGTTTGTAAGGATAAGCTCCAACAGTGTTGTCTTTGCTTGAAGATAGATTAATAGATGTTGTGTTTTTGAGGTCTTTGGCTCTATTTCACGGGCGTCTTGCAACAGTACAGATGCTATACGATACAGACCTTAGTTACAATCAAGGTTACATATCTTGCGATACAAATGTAATACGATACAATAATAAGGGATCGATAGAAAAAGGAAATCAAAATACATTCTTACATGAGCAAAAAAAAGTCAGGAAAAATGTAACTTTACAAAGCAAATACAATCAGTAAGTGAAAATTTTAAGTGTGATCCACAAAGACTAGGGTTCATGCTTCGCTGCTGATTATGTATGACCACCACATATATGAAGGACCTTGAGTTTCCGGAGTGAACTGAGGTATCTCATTGTAAAATTTTGAGCTACCAAATCTAATGTGATAGCGATTCCACAATGACGGAGTAGCCACTCAGAAGGCCATTTTTACGCAGACCGAATCTGGCTTTTTTGAGAGGTAAAGCGTTTCTAAGGATTTTTTTTGTTATTTTGTAGTCAACAGATCCATCAAGTATTTTGCGGATTTATCCAATAAAACCTAAAAACAAAGATAGGCAATCGGATGTTTCTAAGAGCAGAAAGGAAGTTTAAGTTTGAACCGATATAGACGTCACAATTGTGGGTATTGTATGGAACATCCACTGTAAAACGAAGAGTCGAATGGAAGAGTGAATTTAGTTTATTTAATGCAACCTTTAGAAATCACACTGATGATGTTGATGTCAGAGTGTGTAAGTTGTTTTCCTAGATTATTTACGTTGATAATAAGATTTGTCCAAGTGTTGTAGTGCAATTCACGACTCCGAGGCAGGTTGTTGTTAGGGGCTCACGCCACGTTTATTAAGGGCTTACGCCAGGTTTGTTAAGGGCTTACGCCGAACCAAAACCCCCCTAGCCGATAACGCCCCAGGGGACATTGTACTGGGATCCCTACACTCTGGCTACCTCGGCTCTCCTCCCTGCCCCGGGCCGAGAATATCCCCAACCTCGGCCGGTCGGGCGGAGTAGCCTCCCCTAGCCTCGTGTGAGGATCAACTACCCGAGTCCCCACTCCTAACCCCGACGAACCCCGGTTACATCCCGGGTCCCCCTTTAAATACCCCCCTGGGGGCATGACGTCACCGTCCCCCACGGCCCGCCTGACGTCACGTTCCGCGACGCCACTCTCTCAGAAGGCGAGAGTGACGTGATGTCACCAACTACACCTCTACACAAGTATGAAGCCTTGTGGGACTATTTGTAAATAGAAATTTCCGAATACCAAGTTTTCGTCTGAAATAACCTAATTTCACTCCCTGCAGCAATGAAGGATTTAGAGTTTATTTTGTAAAGTGACATAGTCCACCGGATTAAAGGCTTTGGTCAAATTAAGAAATAGTACGGCACAGTATTGCTTTTCCAGTTTAATAAATAGGACATTAAGGGACTTGAGTACCGCAGAAGTTGTGAATGGATGTTTACAGAAGCCTGGTTGTTTAGGGTGAAGCAGCCCATATGTAGAGGTGTAATTGTTGCTTTTTGCCTGGATAATTTATCAACGGCTTTGGTTAGTGGTGATAGTTTTGAAATTTGAATTTTAAAAATATTTTTATTGAACCCGCAACCACAAACAGAACAGAGGGTGAACAAACTCGAGCACGGGTAACAGGTGAACGGGAGCCGCACTCTCTGGGTAATTATTCTCCCTCTAGGGGACAACTGTCGCTTAGAATGTAATAGAGTGGTGTGATTTCTATGACCAACTCCTCCTGCCCAGTCCCCGCTCACTTGTGTCTTTCCTCATTACGTCCAGGTGTTTTGTGTTATCCTGGATTCTCAAGGAAAGGGGTCCATATCGCCTCATATTCTCGTGCTTTTCCCTTCAGCTTGTAAGTGAGGTGCTCCATCGCGGCGATCTATATCAACTTCCCGAGGCCAGGGGTTCATGGTATTTCCAATTTCCCAGGATTGTTTTCCTTGCCATGGTGTAAAAGACTTGGAGTAACGTGTGTTGGTACTTAGATACCCCCCCCCCCCATTGGTTTAAAACCCCACAATGACGAATCCACTGAAGGGCTGACTTCTGTGCCACAGATTGAGTTGAAGTAGTTGGCAATATCTTGGTAGAAATCGATGATGTCTGGGCATCGCCAAAAAGCGTGCAGGTATGTCTGTACAGTGCCCCGTGGACATCTTAGAATCAGAATATTTCTTTATACTCAAATAATCCGATGAGTTACAATTGTCTTTTTCACAGATGTCCAGCAGGGGCAGATCAGAATGTTACAACAACAAAAAACTATACAAACATGTAAACAAGTCACTTAAAAATATACAGATAAAAACGAGGTAAAGCTCACTGCGGTATTAACTTATTTTTCAGAAGCGACCTGACCACAAATGGTAGCTCCATAAACTGGCTTATGTGGAAATTTACATCAGAAATTTTTTCCTAATAATCTCAATGCATGTTTCTAAATGTGGACTGGACAACTGGAGGACCCGGAGAAAAAAATCCACATGGAGAATGTCAACTCCAACTATGCAGGGGTGAGTGTTGCGATCAAACCCGGACCTCCTGCATACCAGGCAAGGAACATAACATCACACCACCGTAGCACCCCTTAAATAGATACAGTTTTAAATAAAAAATTACATAATCAATTCCCAAGCTTGGGAAAGGTAGTTAAACAACAGCAAAAATAGTCCCAGACCACATCAAGACAACGCACATCCCATCAATAAAATGTCATGTTAAACTTTAACTATGGATACGTTAAATTTCGATTTAATGCTTTCGTGACTGCAGGGATTCATCTTCTTAGTTCTTTCGGTAAAGTCACGTAGAAGGGAAATAATAAAATAATAAAAATAAAACATAATAAAATAATTCTCACGACGTTTCGGCCACAACGCAAGCAGACGGCTGCTTGCGTTGTGGCCGAAACGTAAGCAGACGACTGCTTGCGTTGTGGCCGAAACGTCGTGATAATTATTTTATTATGTTTTATTTTTATTATTTTATTATTTCCCTTTTACGTGAATTTATGGATACGTTGTTAAGAATCAAATGTACAAATTACTTTGGCAAATGTGTCTGTATACATCACTAATCTATTTCTCCTGAATATATTTTGAAGGCAAATTTATGATGTTAAAGGCAGATGCTTTGTCAACTCTTCCAATTCTTGTTACTGGAAAAAACCCCACTTTCCTTTCCTTTGTCAGCAAAACAAGCTGCTTTCCATGCAGCCAATTTAATTAATTTGCCCTCTATTATAAGGAATGGGTTGCCCCAAAGAGGGGATTGTCGATGCAGAGAAGGGGAGAATGGAATCTGTCTATCTCTGTCGACTCTTAGGATGGTGGTAATGGTCCGGAACGGCTTGAGGTCAGTGGTCTATCTTTGGTGTAGGTGAACGCAATCCCAGAAAGTGACCAGGGACTGACAGAACCATCCTTCTACTTTTTTTTAATCCCCCCTTTTTATGGATTTATCCAGTGTTTAATGTTTTAGAGCATGATTGATCTGTGATATTTAAGAAAGTCAGGGAGGGCCAATTTATCCGATTTTTTGGCGAATGTAAGAGAGTGATAGTCTATTCTTGATATTCTGTAGTTCCTCTGAACGATATGATGCGTGAGTGGAGTGTTTTAAAACATACTTTTGGTAATCAGGTGGGTGTATTCCTAGGTGGTATAATAGCTTCAGAAGGATCATCATTTTCTGTAGGTGGGCTCTGTTAGAAAGGGATAGAGGAATGACCTTCCAGGCCTGCAGCGATGTAGTGGTGTCCTGGAACAGAGTGTGGATAGTATTATTACCCCAAGGTACTTTATTTGGATAGGGAACTACCTAATTGGTGAAAGCCCTCCGGGGATTTAGGGGAAAGGGGAATCAGTTCTGATTTTGTCGAATGTAGCTTGTATCCTGATGCTTCTCTGTACTCCGTGATCAAAGAGAGTAGGGTATGGATAGAGGTCAATAGTTTAGTAAGGGTTATTAGGAAATCGTCAGCATGAAGGTTAATTTTGTTTTCTACTCCCCCCTTGCATATTCTGGTCACCTGTCGGTTACTTATAGTGCTTTCTGAGAGGGGTTCTATTGCTATTATGAGCAGAAGAGGTGAAAGGGTGGTATCCCTGCCCAGTGCCTCTTCCAAAGGGGAAACTAGGAGAGATTCGTTCATTTGTTATTACTGTGGCAGAAGGATTGGCGCTCGACACTGTTAAATGTCCATTCGACCCTGTCAAATGCTTTTTATCCATCGAGTTTCAGAGAATATGCCACGAGTTTGTCCCTGGTCACAATATCAATTGTATTTACTAGATTTCTTATATTTTCAGCTGATTCCTTATTTTTTACAAAGTCCATCTGTGCTTCTCCGATTGTTGATGGGAGGACTCTTTCCAGTTTACTCATCAGAATTCTAGCAAATAACTTGTAGTCCGAGTTCAGTAAGGAGATCGTCTGTAGTTACCCATTGCCTCTAGACAAGTACCAGGTTAAGGAGTACTGAGATCCTGGCGTTCATAGAGCCTGGGAAGCCACCCAGGATGAAAGTGGCGTTCATAGTTGCTAGTAATTTGGAGGTGATGGGGGCCTCAATCGCCGTAT